AAGTCTATGTAAATAGGGAAGGGTGGAGGGGGTGAAGGGCGCGCAGGGAATGGGGAAAAAATAAGAACCAGGATACATCGTGTTCAGGTACAAGCACCCAATGATGAATGTAAACGTATTGTGTACCTACAATGTACCAATTAATATATAAATAAAAATAAAAATAAAAAAGGAAAGGAAAAATAGCATTTTTGCTAACCAAAAGATAATGTGCATTTATTGATTATAATCATGAAGCTCTCTTCTGTTCACGTAATAGGTTTCTTAATCTTTGGATCACATTTGCAGTTGTCATTTGCTGTTTCTTCTTCTCTTTCCTCAGGTCTCTCTACGTCAATCTTCTGGGACTCTGGACCATCCTCACCTGTTCCGTGTTTTGTGGGCTTGCCCTGTACTCCAGGTACCATGACTGTGACCCTTGGACAGCCAAGAAGGTGTCTGCGGAAGACCAGGTTTGGTGCCGTGTCTTTCTTACATGGCATTAATGACATTCAAAGAGTACCCTAGGGAGAGCAAGGCGACCCCATGTTCACGTAGGGCCGCAGCCAGTGGTCACAAGCGAGTCACCTTCACCTCTATAAAGCATGTGGCAGAAACTTATTTTAGCACAAAGAGCAAGAATGAAGAGCGATGTGTCTAAAACTAATATACTGGAACACCTGGAAAAATTTCAAGCCAAGTGTGAAATAGAAATCACACAGTGCTGGGGGTAGAAATGTAAACACCATTTAAAAAAACTGTACACCAGCCGTGGTACTGGAGAGCACTTTGGGTGTCGTTAACCCACTCATCGATGAGTAATGTGTCTTTTAGTTCATAAATGCCCGAGAGACGGATCTAACAGGTGAACGTGGGCTGAGTGCCAGCCACACGGCGAGATTCTGTGCTGAGAGCTGTGTGCTCATTTCATCCTCGCATCCCTGAAGCCCTAATTTAGACGATGAACTAAATCTCAGAGGTTTTCTGACTGACCTAGGGCCACTGTGTAAGTATGTGGAATAATTGCAAGCACCCATCAGATCCTTACCATGGGCCAGGCACTGTCCTGGGCGCTTTACGTCCATTTTACTTTTTAGTTTCCACAGTGACATACACAGGGGTTAAGTAGGTACCAGCTAGTAGCCTGAAGCCAGGACTCAAACCCACTAGCGGCAGGCTGCCTCTACTCCTGTGGACCTGTGGGCCAAGCACTGTCTTTCAAGAAGTGTAGTTAAAATTTGAATCCAGGGCTGCCCAGCTCTGAAACCTGCATTCCTGCCAAAATTATTTTCTAAGATCTGGTTGTCAATCAAACAATCAGGGGCCTCATAGAACAAAGATAGGCTAATTTCTATGCAAGGGCATCATATACACCCCCCCTGTGGGTTAGGAAATGTGATTTTCTGCTACAGTCCACTGGGATCGTCCTGAGAAAGCAGGGCTGGGGTCTAGGTGTAGTTTTGCTGCTGTCTTGCCTATAATCGTACCTTGATTCTATCTGTACTTCTTATTTTGATGTGGTACACTTTTTACGATCAATAAACCAATAACGATAAATTATTCTGAAGTAAATTTTACATTAAGATTGACTTCTGTGAGTTTTGCCAAATGTATAATGTTATGGACTCACTGTTATAGTGTCATATAGAATTATTTCACTGCCCTAAAATCCCCTGTGTTTCACCCATGTATCCCACCTACATTTTCTCTTTTTTTTAAGGGTTTTTTTTTTTTTTGGTACTGGGAATAGAACTTGGATCCTTGCGCTTTTGAGGCAGGCACTGGAACCACTGAGCTAAATCCCCAGCCCACCTACATTTTCTACCAATCACTGGTCCTTTACTGTCTCCAGGATGTTACCTTTTCCAGAATGTCAGCTGCTTAGATTAGCAACAGGCTATTATTTCCATGTATTTTCATGGTCTACGACTCACTTTTTATACATATTTTAAAATTTTTAATTGACATACCAAGTATACATTCTCATGGAATACAGTGTGATATTTCTTTTAAAAATTGCATAGTAAAGATTCTTGAGAAAGCTGATAATAATGTAGAAGATTTTGGATTTTATTACAATGCTAATGATGGAAACTTTATTTTTGCTTATGTATGAAATACTGTTTCACTTTTTTTTTTAATGGTGCCAAAAGTTTATTTGAAAAGTGAAGGGTGAAGGAGTATGGGAGAAACTGGCTCTGCAGAGCAAATCTGGGCAGAGAAAGAGAAAAAGAAGATAAAAGTAGAAATGAAAGTACACACCACGTCTGGGAAACACAGTGTAGGCTACTGTGGGAAGTCACAGTCGCCAAATACTGCTGAAGAACTGTTTCAAGTTCAACTTTTAAAATATTTTGGGAAAATTGAGTTACTTGGGGAGCTGGCCATGGCCGCCATTCAGAGCTTCCCTCCGCTCCTGGTGGGAGATGCAGTCAGTCTTGTCTCTGTGCGCAAGAGAGGATAGTTTCCGGGAAGGTTTGTCCCCTTAGGCCTCCTCTACTTGAAAGTTAACACTGCAGAGAGACAACGCAGTCTATAGTCACTTACATACCCATCATTATTTTGTATTTATTTTTAAAAAATGTAAACATGGCAAACCAAGTTAGTATCAGGAACTTTCTGAAGAGGCCAGTTTCAAAGATTTCCTGAGGTACTTTTCCATCCATCGCTATGTTTTACACTGTGGATAACTGAATTACATCTTTTACTCTTGGATAGTAATTGAACTTTAAAAAATGGTCTGGAGTCATAAATAGAGAGGGTGCTACTTGTTTAAGCAAAGAGGTTTTTCGAAAGTCCCTTAAAAATGGCTTATTATTGCATGGAATAAGAGCTGCTTTTGTTGAGTATTTACTATCTTGCATATTCTATACTAAAAGTCTTTCATAGATTAGATGAGGGAACCAAGGCTCTGAGAAATTAAGTAACCAAAGCCACATCTGTCTGACTCCAAAGCCTGTGTACTTAGCTATTGGGCTTTTTGTTTAAATGTGAGCAATTAACGACTTAACCTTTAGGAGTAGCTCCTTTCACTTCTGGAAGAACAAAGATCTTAGGTAATCAGGAATTAGCTGACTTTATTCAACAGCAAATGGCATTTAGGTGTATATTTTGGAATTTTTCAGCTCATGCCTTATTTGGTACTGGACATTTTGCAAGATTATCCCGGAGTTCCTGGGCTTTTTGTGGCCTGTGCTTACAGTGGAACCTTAAGGTATGCACTAGGAGTCTATGACCCGTCATTCCCTCCGGGCATCTGTCTTTTCTCGTTGGTGGCTTTGGGGGTGGAGCTAGATTCTGGACTCGGCACAGTTGGGTCAAAGTAGGCGAAGCACTGCTGGTGTCCTCCCAGTTGCTCTGACTCTTTCCTCTGGGGAGGGTGCTCGCTTCCTGCTGTCCCCAGGCTGCCTGGTGCAGTGTCCCGTTCTAGGAAGTGAGTGCTGGTGACAGCAGGGATGCCTCTGCATGGGCTCTGGTTCTGAGAGGCCGCCTAACTCAGCTGTTAAATCTGACAGACCGCAGAATGCCTTCCTCCCAACATCAGGTCTTGTGCTCCAGCGCGCCACCACATACCCTCAGGGGTCATGGTGACCCCTCAGTGGTGGCTTTCACTGAGCATCAGAGCTCCACGCCCACACCGGGGCTCCCTCAGATTCCCCCTTTTCCCAGGAGACCTGATGCTGGGAGGTGCATGGCCTCATCCTTGCCCTCCCTGGAGCATCTTCTCTTTCCCCGAAATCTCAGTTTAGCACCTCTCTCCTCATCACCCCCACCAAACAAACTGGAATCACCTACTGTGATTTGGGCGGAATTTTCCTTCTCAGAATACTGCTTCTTCCAATCTGGAATGATGGTATGTCTTTCTATTTATCTCGGACTTCATTTGCTTTTTCTCAATGTTTTCTTTATACTTTTGGCATGGAGCTCCTATACATGTTTTGTTAGGTTATTTTCTAGGTGCCTGCTGGTTTATTATGCTATAAAAGTGTCATCATAAGATATCATTTCTATGAGTTGATTGTGGGTAGCATGGGCATCCTTATATTGACATTGGTTTTGCAAGTCTGCCCAACTCGCCTACTTGGTCTTTGTTGTTGTTGTTTTTGTTTTCTGAGACAGGGTCTCATTAAGTAGTTCAGGCTGGCCTTGAACTCACTATGCAGCCCAGGCTGGTCTTAAATTTACCTGGCTCTTCCTGCCTCAGCCTCCTCCGAGTGCTGAGATTACAGGCCAGTGTCACCAGGCCCAGCCTCACCTATTAAATCTGATAAACTGCAGGCTATTTTTTCATAGCACGGTATCTAAAAAAAAAAACCCTTTACTTTAAAATTTAAAGCAGTAGCCAGTTTAAGACACATGTGGCTAAAGCATGATCAACTGGAAAATTAGAATTCAATCTATATGCCTATTGAATAATATACTCTTGCCAGAAGCATCTTGTATTTTGTCATTGACCTTCTTCCTGTGTTTGTTGTAGGAGATTGACGTTATCAATGTGTACAGCATATGTTAGTGAGGATTCAGGAAAGGACTATTTATGGCACATGTTACTGAGGGTTTATGACAATCCTTTCAATGCATAAAGAAAACTATATTTTAAAGTCATGTAATAATGTAATAATAATAGTATAATAATGTACATTTTTATGGACACAGAAGACTAACTGGAAAATAGAAATTACATTAGCACATCCTTTTCTAATACTATCCAGCCTATGCCCTGAATCGTTTTTTTTTTTTTTTTTGGTACTGGGAATTGAATTCAGATCCTTCCGCTTGCAGGGCAGGTGGTGGAACCACTGAGCTAAATCCCCGGCCCTCCCTGAATCATTCTTGGATGATAAGTGGACTTTAGTCATTAAGAGCAACAGAAATCCGGTTACATTTTAGAAGTTTCCATTTGCTTTCTTCTTCCCTGTTCCCATGATAAGTATTGTTAAAGCTAAAATATTATTAACCGGAGTGTTCCTTCTTTGCCCTCCCAGCACAGTGTCCTCCAGTATTAATGCGCTGGCTGCAGTGACCGTGGAAGATCTCATCAGACCTTACTTCCGGTCGCTCTCAGAGAGGTCTCTCTTCTGGATTTCCCAAGGAATGAGTAAGCTCTGTTCACAACTCCCCTCCAGCTCCAAGAGGAGACTTCTTTTGAGACACCAGAGGTTCTTTTCCTCTACAAAGCACTAAGTACATCCCAGTGAGAATGCATATCCACATCCACTTGCCCACAGTTTAGTGCAGATATGGCCGTATTTGCAACCAAGATTTGGAAGATACTTTAAATATTTCAGGCCAGGTGTGGTGGCACACACCTGTAGTCCCAGCACTCAAGAGGCTGAGGCCGGAGGATCACCGCTGAGTTGGAGGCCAGCCTGGGCTACATAGCGAGTTCAAGGCCAGCCTGACATGCATAGTGAGACCTTGTCTCCAAAATAAAAAGAAAAAATTTCATTGTCAGTGGACCACAAAGGACAGTTTCCAGGACTTGCTAATATAGATAAGATTTGCATTCATTTGAAGCGTTCTATGAAATCATTACATCGAAGTGTATGCAATAAGGACATCGTGGACAAGAACACAACAGATGGTTTGAATATTCTTTTCAGTAATTTTGAGTATTAAACTGTAACAGTGACTGTTCATGCCTACTCAATGAGGAAGAATCAAGCTAAAGACAGAAAAAAAATTAATGTAAGATTTTTTTTTTTAGAAAAAATTTAAGTACAATAATGTTATTTACCCACTATACTTAACAAAGGGGTGAATGCTAGTGTGAATAAAATAGGAATAACATAATTTAAGGAATGCACTAATTTAATGATGAGGATTTTTCCATTCTTTTTCCCTATATTTTGAATTTTGAGCATTGGAAAGCCTCTTGATTTATTTAAAGTAATTTTTGCTGAATCAGTTTTTTAAAAAAATAAAAGACGGGTAGCTAATATTTACTTAATTTTAAAAAGCAAATGCATGAAAAAAATTGAAAATAAATGGAAAAAATGGTAAAAAGCGAAAGCTACAAGAGGAAATAAAAATCTCACACTCTGACAAACAATGGTGGCTTAAGAATTTCTATAAAAAAGTTTGGGGAACAACTTGGCAGAAGAGGGAATGGGAAACTGACCTTGAAGTCACCTTTGCTGGCAGTTTTAACGGGAGAGGCGTGGGGCCGCTGGACTTTCACCACCGCCCTTGGTGTGGGTCACCACGGCCCTGAGGGGGAGAACAGCAGAAGTCAGAAGGCTCTGATTTCTGGTGTTGATCCCTCCCCGCCTTTTCACCTGTAGTAGGCTGAGCACAAAGTGCTGAGCCTTCCTCTATAGACACCTTTGCAGCAGATTAAATTAATAACACAATACAGTAGTTCTTAGTTTTAAAACTCCCATAGTTAATTCCAGGGAGTCTTTCCTTACATAACCTGCTCTTATACCTAATCCTGGGACACAGTATGCGGGCCTTGTTTGTTCTCATTGCCGATTCTGGAGGAAAACACGTCTTTCCTTGTTGGGCTGCCTGTGATGTGTGCGGTCACTCTTCATCTCAGTTGTGTAATTTCTCTCTGACCCAGAGGGACAGTGGCCCACTCTCCTGGGAATCCCAGTTCTCTGGGTCTGGACTATACAGTGCCTTTGTGTCACCCACCTAGGTGTGCTGTACGGAGTCCTGTGCATCGGGATGGCTGCACTGGCCTCACTCATGGGAGCTCTGCTACAGGTAAGAGCTGAGCCCAAAGCTCCATGCGACTCCAAACCTCCGAATGTTCCTCTGACTGTCACTCCAGACTTCTCTCCACACATCTATCTACACATAAACCCATTGGAGGACAGAGGTGGCTGCATATTTAAACGTTTTTTAAAAATTCAACTTTCTATTCTGGATAGTCACAGATTTACATGCATGCAATTGCAAGAAGTGATACCGAGGTTGCATATATCCTATACTCCGTTTCACTCCATGGCAATGTCTCACAAAAACATCTTGCAGTGGTTACATTTTGATAAGACCATATCACAACCAGAATATGGACATGGAAGCAGTAAGGTACGGAGCAGCTTCATCACTGGAAGTGTCCCCGCTGGTGTCCTTCATAACCACGCCTACTTCTCTCCTGACCCACTCCCTCCTTGGCCTTTGGCAATCACAAATCTGTCCTCCATTCTTACAATTTTGTCATGTTGAGTGTTGCATAGAGGGCCGGGGATTTAGCTCAGTGGCATTGTGCCTGCCTTGAAATCACAAGGCCCCCAGTATCGGTGTGGCGGTGGGAGGAGGAGTGTTCCCTAAATGAAATCAGGTAGCATGCAGCCTTTTGAGGTCTTCCTGGGTCTTGCTGTGAAAAGTGAATTTTGATGGAACTTGGAGTTTTTTAAATTTATTTGATCTTACGCCTTCCATTTTAGTGGCTTTCTTTGAGGCCACTGTTGTAGGGCGGGCAAGCCCTGAGTCATGGCTGCCACGTGGAGGCAGCAGGCCGGCTTCCTCAGCTGAGGGGAGCCTCTTTCTGCACTGGGTGTGGATGTGGAATGTAGCTGATGAGACATCTTATGACCTCATGACCATAGGATTGGTGCATTAGTGTCACTGTACACCTGCTCAAGGGCTCTGCAGGGCTGCCGCTGTGTGTCACTTAGTAGTGTGATGCAAATTGGCCCTGGGGTTTTCCGGGCTTAGCCCAAGGAGTTTCAGGACACAAGGCCACTTTGTACAGTTGCAACTGTCCTGCACCTCAGAACAAAGCTTGCCCTCGACAAATAGCTCTCTGTGGGAGAAACACCTGGTAACGGACCCAGGCTGCATACAGATGTAAGAAGGCAGGAAGGAACCCTAAACTCTGAGCAGGGTCTCTGGGTAGAGAATGGGAGCATCCTCAGTCATGTGACCCCTACTGGTATCTGCCCCAGCCCTGCCTGGCCCAGCCCACACCTGCACTCCACCTCTAAGAGCATGATGGGAACAAACGGAGCTGGAATCTGCGATTCATCTTCAGGGTGAATTGCACAGGGCTGGGGAGAAGTTGCCCTGGAGGAAATTAGTTAACAGAGACCACCCCAAACCCTTTATGTGACACATGGCAGTGAGGATGGGTGAAGTCAGCGAGAATTGACATCCATTTCCTCGAAAGAATCCAGAGAGAGTGACCTGGAGCAGACTGTCATGAAGAAATCAGCGAGGCCAGTGGATCTTTGGTGGGTCTCCGGGCAGCCTCACGAGTCCCTCCAGGCTGTCCTCGGAGCAGACGTGGGCCTCCACTCGCTCCTGGACAGCTGGGCCCAGCCTTTCCATGGTCACTGGTAACGCTCCTGCCCCTTGCCCTGGATGCCACACATCCCTCCCTGACGAGGCCTTTATTGAGGTGCTTGGCCAGGAGTCTCTGGAGCCATCTCCATCACTGTCTCCTGTCACTGTGGCCGGGACTCCCAGAAACACCTGTTGTGCCTGGTAGCCATTTGTGATGGACAAGACCCAAGTTGGTTCGAGACCAGGCTTTTGCATCTTCAATACCACCTCCAGCTCAGTGTCTCTGGACCTTATTGTGGGGTTTTGAGGCCACTTGGTCCCCCTGTCCCACCCCACTGACATTGCTCTGAAATCAAGCAACTCCAAGCCTGCCACCCCCGAGTGCTCGACAACTTTTACATCTCCCGGGGCTGTGTCTCCAAGCCCCAGTGTCCCCTCTGTCTTTCCCTGTTCCAGGTGGCCTGGTTTCCCATGTCCAGTTGTGGCTTCCCAGACTGTTTATTCATGATTCATGATGGCTTGGAGCGAGGGTCACTGCCACCCTCACTTCTGCCTCCCAGCCATGGCCAACCCGTGAGCCTGCTGAGCGTGTCCTCATTGGCCCTTCCACTCGTGTCCAGGCTTTAGAGTAATGCCCTGATTGCTATTTTTTATTTTTCGTAGTGGGGATTGAACCCAGGGCCTTTGCACTGAGCTACATCCTTGGCCCTCTTATTTTGTATTTTGAGACAGGGTCTTGTAAGTCAGTAAGTTGCCCCAGCCGGGCTTGAACTTGCAGTCCTCCTGCCTCAGCAGAATGCAGGAATTACATGTGTGCACCACTGTACTTGGCTCTGATTACTGCCTTGAACTTCTCTCCCTCCACTGCTGGTGAGTCTGCCCTAGATCTGCAGCTGAAACCACTCGCTTCTCCCCCGAGTGACCAGGGACCCTAGACCTACTCTACCCTCGCTGGCTGCCAACGATGCAGCTCAGTTCCCAGCAGATTGTTCTGAGAATGCTGCTGACCCTCCTCACCCGGCACAGAAGATCTGTTTGAGATTTGACTGACCGTGGAAAACAGATGGTCCTCGTTTAACGACCAAGTCATTCTTGTGATTAAGTCATTAAATGAATTGGTTGCTAAATGAGGAATTATATAGTATGTACATTACAAAATTTAGAACAATGAAATGGTCAAAGGAAACTACAGCTTGATGGCTTTGCTATTATTTGCATAACTCTTACTTGCAGTAATGTACAACAGAATATAAAACTGCAGTACTGTACTATACAGAACAATCAGCAGAAATTACAGTATGGTATAAACAAGGCATACTGCACAAAAAGACAGTGAAGCTCTATAAACAAGAAGTACAGAGCTGTACAAAAGAAAGGGCAAGTGGTAACTCAGAACAGCTGTTAAGTAGGTAGGTCCTTAAGCGAGGAATATCTGTACTGTGAACTCTGAAGCTCCGGCAGTCTCTGAACCCCAGACCCCACAGGGCCTGGAGGTGGGGTGCAGTCCCTCCGAGATCTGAGACCAGTGACAGCCCCGGGCCCATTCAGGGGTCTTGCAGGGATTTCCAGCCCTGGCCCAGGGATTCCCAGTGCTTACTGTGGCGGAGTCTCCTGCGTCTTCTATATACTGTCTCTGGCTGATGATACATCGTGGGATCTTCTAGCAGAGTCAGAATCACTCCACCTCAGTTCTTTCTCCCTTGTTTCTTTGCTAATCGAGATCTTATTCCTCCACACCGTGATTTCGAACCTTTGACAGCTTTCGATTACAGTGAGCAGCCAGCTGCGGCACGTGTGCGACAGGTTCGCCTCCACTGCTCTAACGGAGCCTTTACTTGGTGTCTTGCTTCTGTCCCCCAAACTGGCTCCCCATCCTGCTTGTCACCGCTGACTTCCTGGGCCGTGTGCTCTTTGTCACGTCCTGCGCGGAGTCTGTCTCGCATTTTGCTGGATTCTGTGACAGCCGACTCCGGATCACGTCCTTCTCAAGCAGTAGTTCTGGCTCATCAGCGCCCCAGTCCTTTCTCCTCTTCACAACATTTATTTAAATCCAGGTTCGCAGCCAGTGGCTAGGGCCCTGCCAGCCCGAAAGTGCCCGATCTCATCAAGCGCGCAGGCCACGCCTTCTGACGTTTCCCGGTGCTGGTGTTTTCTCTTGGACTCATCCCTTCTGTTCTGTTGGGCCCTCTTCTCTCATCAACAAACCAATGTATCCCTTCCTCTTCTCTCACAGTCTTGCCTATTCTTTATTTCTAATTGACAAATAAAAGTGTACATGTTTACGTGTATCCTGTGATGTTTCAATACACGTATACATTGTATAATTTCAAATGAGACTAAATATATTTATCTCCCCAAATATTTACCATTGCCATGAAAACATTCAGTCCTTTCTTCTAGCTTTTAAAAGTTATACAGTCTATTATCTGTTGTCATTCTACTGTGCTACAGAACATCAACTTACTTGTGCTATAAAATGAAAACTTAGTTCTCACCCATCAGCCTCCCCATCCCTCCCTCTGCCCTTGGAAACCTCCACCTCAGATTACTGACAGCTCTTGGAAGCTTGATACATCTTGATACATCTCTTGGACGCTTCAGTTATTTGCACTTCCTCATGCTTCATGTTACAAATCGCTTTCACTCTTGTGGTTTTATGTCTCTATATCAAAGCAAGTTTCAAATATCTTTCTATACCACTTGATCAACTTTTCTTCAAGTCCTATTTTTCCCTTTCGTGCTACCTTAGGGAATCAGGTCAGGAGCGGTTCCACCGCTGTCTCCAGTCCCTTCCAACCTTGTGGGGCAGAGCATCTTGAGAGGACCGATAGCCATGCATCAGAACAAGGCTGTGGGCGCTGTGGCTCCCGACTTGCCCTGGTCCTCCGTGCCCTCAGGATCCTCTGTCCTCGCACTTTTGAGGGAACCCAAAGGAGCAGGTGGGCCCTTGGTGTTGAGAAGCAGGCGTTCCAGGTTTTAATGACCTCTTTGCCAGTGACAGGGCTGCACACGAAGGAGGGCACTGTGGTCTTTTCATCTTCACCCTGGTGGGATCCTCTTGAAGCGCTAGCTCAGGTCTGAAATTGCTCATTGTGACCCAGCGTTCCTTTTCTTTTCGTAGGCGGCACTCAGCATATTTGGCATGATCGGAGGACCTCTCCTGGGCTTGTTCTCTTTGGGCATTTTGGTTCCTTTCGGCAACTCAGTTGTAAGTGTGAAGAATGAATGTGTGTATACGTTATTTTCCCAGCTATTGAAGCAGCTGTGCATCTCTTACTGCACTGTGAAGATATGGTTGCTTTGAGATGTTGTTAGTTACTTCCCCGATGACTTTAATTACTCTTTGTGACTTAGATGGAGTGTGTAAGGAAGCACACAGACTGGGACCCTAAGATCAATGGAAACAGCCAGACCCCTAGAGAACAACTGTACATATTCGTAATGTGACTAAAGGGGCAAATGCCTATGCCCTTCTTAAAAATTAATAGCTAGAGTTTAAAGAAAGGGACTGATGTCCTCAGATCTGAGAGATTTAAGGACAGTACAGCTGAGGATACCTATGAATAATCATGATGCACAAGAAGTAACGAGATCTTCACCACCTTGAGCCGAAAGCTTGTGGTTCTGATATTTGAAGGCTTTGGGCTCCAAAACATGCTCTGATGAGTTGACTGTACTTGGAAATCTTATCCAGGAAGAGGTAGCAGCCCTGTTCTTCTACACAGACCTCTCTGTGAATTAAGTATGTAGAATTAGAATCGCTAAGTTTTGTTTGGAATGAATGAAATACAAATTATTTCTCTGAAAGCCAGGAGAAAATCCACTGGTTCTGCCCTGCTATAGGATGAAGTTCAGGAAAAACTAATAATGCATATATATTTCTTTCAGACATTTTTAGAATAACTGCAGAACTATAACTTAGCCTACAGATTTCCATTCTCCTTATAAGGCATGAGGAACTGGTAAGGCAATTCTAACGAGGACTAGTATTAGTGCTAATAAGTCTGAATGAGGTATCAGGAGAAGCTAGTTGGGTAGAAATTAATCACAGTGAAATAGACTAGTTGAACACCCAATTTGACTGCATTTTGAAATGCATAGTGGTTTGTCGAGTGTCTGGGGAAAACTCAGCTTGTGCTTTCTGACACGTGATGAATGGCCTTTAGTGGGGCTGTCCCTGATGAATCCCAACATGCCCTTTTGGGGAGGAATAAGATACTGTTATTCTTGCCATAGAACTCGGAGTCTGCTCCCAGGGACTGCACACTTACGAAAGGTCTCCCGGTCCTCGTCCCCAGCACAAATCCCCTGCTCGGGCCAGCGAACTTCTCACTTGCCCACCAGTGTGTGATTCTTTTTTCTCCCCCGTGTTTTCACTTAGATTTACCCCCTGCCTCAAATGCTCTTCCCTTTTCTCCACATGCAGCTCCAGGATCAGGTTGCTATTGGTAAATTCCACCACAGGGGGAGCAGCTTCCCAGCTTGAGGTCTGCTTTTGCTCCCATCCTTTGGAACCAGGGTTTAAATCCTTCGCGAGCAGACAGAACTCCCTGACAGAACTCCCCTCAACCCAAGTCTCTCAAAGGACAAGAAAGCCAGTGTTTTCAGAGAGACCCTGGCCAGGATCTCCCCGCTCCTTCTGTTTCTCCCTAGAGATTTGGTCTGGCTCAGGGCTGGGCTGCAGTCATGTGTAACTCGGCTAGATAGTTTCCCCCTAATTATCCTGCAGCTCGGTTATAATTGTGCATGTTGTTAAGTGTAAGGATAACGTGGATGTGCTTCCATTTGCATACTCTCGTGCATATGGCATGCCATTTGTTCACAGATTAAGTAAACAGAGGGAACAGCTGGCCTGCAGTCAACCAGCTTTGTGACTGTGGCAGTTCTTTTGGGTGTGAAGAGTGGGGAAAGTCAGAGCCCAGTGCTGGCCACAAAAATAGAGTTGAAAAACTGGAGGTATTCAACATTTGCAGAGAAAGTGGGCAGGAGTTAGTGAAGGGTTAGACAGGGATATGAAGGAACTGGGGCTTAGGGATGGGAGCCTGTGATCCACTTGACAAGAGGGTGAGATCCTGCAAGGCAGAAGAGATGTAGGAAGAGAGCTTGTAATTGTGGCGTGGATCAGGTTGAACTTAACTTGCAAAGGTTTCCATCTTAAAGCAAATGGCATTATCTTCCTTTTACCAGTGCTCTTGTTTTCCAGGGAGCGTTTGTCGGTCTGTTGGCTGGATTTGTCATATCCTTATGGATTGGAATTGGAGCTCAGCTGTACCCCCCACTTCCGGAGAGAACTATGCCGTTACACCTGTCTACTTACGGCTGCAACAGCACATACAATGGGACCCATGTGACGACAGCCACAGAAATGCCATTTTCTACGGGTACTTTTGACATCCACAATGTGGAAAGGTATCCAGTTTTATAATCTATCTTTAAGATTTATGTGACAAGTAGAGAACTCCAGTTGCTTGTTATCTTGCCCATAACACTGCGATTTTTCCTAATTCTGAACCTAGCAGAGCCCATGTGGGTCTTTGGTTATAACATATTATTCAGCACTAGAAAAAGGATATATTTTTTAAATTTCTATAGAAATTTCCACTTTAGCTTTAGGTCTAAAGGAAACCTGAATATTAATGAAAAATCTGTTATGGATATACTACCAAATACCAACTCTAACTGCATGAAAAATTATCTGTCTTTGAGAAGTGTTTTCAATGTAAAGCTCAATTATAAAAGAAATATTGCTTAACTAGTATTTGAAATAGATCCTCTACTGAGGATCTATTATCTACCATGATCTGATTATGTGGAATAGTTGCTGATCATTCTGTTTAAAGATTCCAGGTCTTGGAGCACTACCAGTGAGTCACAGCTATGACCTTCCTGCCAGCGTTTTCTCTTAGGCAGCATATTTTTGAGCCTCTGAATACTGAGCTTGTCTGACTTAATGAAATAGCGTAGGGCCGGGGATTTAGCTCAGTGGTTCCAGTGCCTGCCTTGAAAGCACAAGGTCTCGAGTTTGATCCCTGATACCAAAAAAACCCCATAGTGTAGACTTGTTGGCAGAAGAGTGCTGTACTGTACTGTGAGTGTGGGGGCAGACTTTTCTTAGTGGATGCATCAGTGTGCAGATGTACAGTACAAAATCTCACGCCTGTGCTCAAGGAATACAAAAACAAGAACGCTGTCCCCAAAGTATTGCCCGAGTGCCAGCTTCCAAGGAAGCAGCCTTAGAGAACTGTTGCTTTTGGGTCAAGACACAGAGCATCCTTCTTAAAATGGACACAGTCCTGTGTACAGAAAGAGCTGTTATTAATGAAGCCATGCACAATCCCAGAAGGAATTCACTTGCAAATTCTTGCCAGTGGGACTTCTGGGGGAGTTCAGGGCTGTATGCTGTGTATGGATGGAGGGAAAAGTTAGTTCCAGAGTCCAAGAAATATTTGGGAGACTAAGTAACATGCTGTGAAGACAGAGGCAAAGAAATCTGGGGAGGAGTGTGGACCAGCATAAAAGCAGGAATGGGAGAGGTTCAGGAAAGTCACCGGAGAGGGCCAGAAAGGGAGAAAAGATGAACTGAAAGTTAAGTGAGATAAGAGGACATTCAGACTGTCCTTCTGGTTACATAGTTTTGCTTAGCATTTTTTCCAGTTAGGTAAATATCTCCTTTAATATAACAGCATAAGGCAAAATGGTTCTTTAGATTCCTGAAACAAATAGATCAGCCAAGGTTTATTATGTTCCTGGTACCAAATAATCACCTTTATAGGTTAGCTTAGTTACAAAATAATTCCAGTAATAGAGGATGGGGGTGTAGCTCAGGGGCAGAGTGCTTACTTATTAAGTGTAGGGCCCTAGGTTCAATCTCCAGCACCACAAACAAACAAATAAATAGTTCAGCTAATCAGCAAGAGTATTTGAACATGAACTATGTATCTAGCTGTTTGTTTAATATCTGCTTCTTCTTACCCATTCCTATTTTCTAAGAAATTACAGTCTAACCTGAGAGGATATGTATGATAACTATAATAATTAGCACATGGTAAATTGCACTTGATACTTGACAGATACAATATTTGTTAAAAGAACAAATAAAGACAATGTTGGTGTGTAGATTAACATGAAGATTTCAGAGATGTATGACTACTTGAAGAATGCAGTTGTCTTGATGCAGGAGAAGGTTTTAAATGTCATTCTTGTCACAGGAAATAAAAGGGAAGTTGGGCGAGAAAAGAAGTAATTAAGCAATACCTTGTGATAAGTGGTATCCATAGGCTATCATGCTAGCCAGGAGGTGGTGACTGGGAAATCTGTCTTGCTCTGTTTGCTGTTGCTATAACAGAATAATATAGATCGGGCAAGGAAGTCCAAGGGCATGTCTCCAGCATCTGCCCAGCATCTGCTCAGCATCCGCTCAGCATCTGGGGGCGGGGGGGAGGGTGGCTTCCTAATATGGCCAGGAAGTGGAAGTGTCCTAGCACTGCCCTCTTCCTCTTCTTATAAAGACACTGTCTTAGTTACTTTTCTCTTTGCTGAGACAAAACCCACAGTTGAAAGAGGAAAGGCTCATTGCAGCTCAGAGTTTCTAGAGGTTTCAGTTTATAGTTGGCTGGCTCCAAGGAATGGCAGAGGGGCCTCAGAGAGGAGAAAAGGTTCATGGTGGGTAGAAGGTGGCAAAGCACTGAAGTAGCAAAGCAGCAGCAGCATACCTCTCCCTTTCATCCCTTCCAGGCTGTCCGCCCTTTGTGTGGTGCCACTCACCCCCAGGGTGGGCTTCCTGTTATCCACACCCAGAACTATGCCAAACCAATCAGTGGACTAATTTAGTAATCGCATATCCTTAATCCCAGCACCATACACCCTAGATCCAGCCCCCTCTCAAAAGTCCCACCAATGACCACATGAGGCTTTGGGGGACATCTAGGCACGGCCATAACAGGCACTAATCTCATCATGGGGGAAGAGACCCTTCTGACATCATTTCACCCTAATTACCTTCCACATGCTGCTTCCAAATGCTGTCCACATATAAATTCAGGGATGGAGTTTCTGACACATGAACTTTTGAGGACACGTTGAAACCACAGCACCTTCTTGTAGGAGTTATACAAACTAGATTTAACTAGGCAGACAAGATTGGGACAAAGGTAGGGACCAAGGAAAGAAGAGTATGCATTGCAGAGTGAAGAAACCAATGTACGAAAAGTCACCTCCTTCTGTACAAGGGTGTAGGTGACACAGCCAAAGACTTAAGATACCAGGTAGTTGTCCAGATTCAGTTTTGTTTTGTTTTTTAACTTTTTAACATGAGTGCATAAGTGTGCTAGTAGTTTTAACCTAATCTTCCTTATGATTCATGCAGTTTATACGTTTATTGACCGTTTAGATGTCTTCTTTTATGACTTGTCTATTGAAGACATTGGCCTAATTTTTCAATAGACTCTGTATTTTTATTATTTATTTGGGAATTATTGATATATTCTTGATACAAGATATGGTTTGAAAATATTTCTCTCCCACCCCATGATTGTATTTTTTCTTTTTTTACTTCTATATTTTGTAAAAAGTCATGACTTCTCAGATAATCCTTAAAGTATCAAGAGGAAGTTTAATCATGAAAAAATCAGCATGTTCAGAACAGTAACAATACCTTCATTTTAGAAATAAAGGACTAACACAATTGTTTAGTTCTGGTTTTGAGTTTTCCCTCCTAATATCACAGATGTAAATACATAGTATATTCTCAGTGTTCTTGTAAGATGTCCTGATTTTTGCATTTTGGCAACTAATTCAAATTTTAAAAACAACAACTACCAGGCAGATGAAACAAACATATCAGTTTGCAACTTTATTCTCTTACTAATATCTTTTGTTTGCCAGATTTTCTTCATTTTAATTAAGCTCAAGTATGAATCTTGCTCTATATTGTTATTCCCTTCTGTGTCTTGTTGAAGAAATCTTTGCCTTCCACGAGGTGCTAAAGATATTCCCGCAGCTTCTCCTGTAAAGGGCCTGTTGGTATCCAGTCACGTGTGGGGAATGCAATCTGCTGGAGGGTGAGCTCAGTGCTGCAAACGGAGCCAACTTCCCCTCCGTAACTTCCCCTTCGGTAGGCCAAGCAGTCTCTGGCGGAAAGACAATCCTGCCGGCCCACTGTGACGCAGGCCGCTGAACTAATGTAAAGGAGAGGGCCGTTTCCCCGTGAGTCTCTTGGTGGTGCTGTGTTCTGTTCCATTTGGCCCGTCTCTGGCCCAGCGCCTGACTGCCTGCCACACTTTCATTGGCCCACGTCACTGTGTGTCCCTGCCGTGTGGGCTCTGTCCCTCAAGTTCTCATTGCTTTGATCTCTCTGATGTCTTAAAACACTTGCCTGTCTCCCATCTTCCAGATTTTATGCACTATTCATAGCAGGATGGTTGGTCTCCATCGAGCTACTCTAGCAAAACCGAAAGTGGAACCCTGGAGCAATTGTTCTAGAAATAGAACAGACCTCTAACTTCACTGCTTACAATCTGTGGAGATTGCCAATCATTGTGGAGGAAAATCTCAGCCCACCCAAAGGCTTTCTCATCTGGCCCCATTCTGTGTCCTGCTCGCTGTATTTTGCTCAGCCGGGAAGATGGTTTGTTGCTCAGATTTCAGTTCAGATGTCATTTCTTGGCAAATGGTTTCTCTGAGCACTCGTGGTAGTGTGGCCCCTCCCTCTCTAACCTGCTAAGGTGGCATCATCTTGCTCTAGTTTTCTCACAGGACTTTCCACCCATGGAAATCATGTTCGTTAATTTGCTTACTTGTTTATTGTATTTCTCTGTCCATTAGGATGTAAGCATCAGTGGACGGGAACTTTATCTGCCTTACTTGTGGCTGATTACCATGACAAGAACAGTGCCTTGGACATAATACAGAGGGTAAAAGGCTAATTTAGGCTCATGGTTTCAGAGGTTTCAATCCATAGTCGGTTGGCCCTGTTGCTTTGGGTCTGTTGTGGTGGGAGAGTGTGGCAGAAGCGGTAGTGGCCAGAGAGCAAAGCCAGAGACGGAAGGAAGGGCCTAAGGGGTCCCCAGTATCTCCTCTGAGGGCACTGCCCCTTCATGACTAACTTTCCTCCACCTCACCTGCCTCCTAAGGGCTCCACCACCTCCCGACAGCAACATGGGTGTATGCCCAAGCCCTTCACATTGGGCCTTTGGGAGACATTGATCCAAACTGTAGCACTGTGCAATCTGAAACAGCAGGTGCTGTCACATTGAGTGTGAGAACTGAGTTCCTTTGGGTCAAAATGAGGATCCACCCAGCGGAGAAAACACAAGTTCTAGTTGCCCAGAGTAAGTGCTACAAAGATGGCATCTGAGAGAGCTGGGGTTTTATAGATTGAAAACAAGATGACAGCGAATTGGTTGTTGCAGTTGGTAGGAATAGCGCAGCATCCAGCTGTTCCTTGGCCACGGAGATCATACGCTCTGATAAAGAGTTGTGATGAGCACGAATGGCTTTCACTGGCATGATTTCTTCTTTTCTTGGTGCCAGGAGTTCGCAGAACCTTGCACCACTGTGGCCTGGGTCTCTATACTTCAGGTTTCCCCCAACCGAGAGTATTTTGTGACGCCATTCCTGTGACATTTTAAATCTTCTCCCCAGTGTATGGTCAGGGTGAAGCCATACTTTTGATTTCTGGCCCAGGAAGTAAAGATCAGAACAGCAGATTATGATACTGAAGGCGTTATTAAATACTGTATTTTTACTCTGTTGTGAGGATCATTAACCCGTACATGTAGTTGCTAGTAGCATTGCACTAAATCTTATGGCAATGCTTTTGCTGTCTTTTAGGACTCCACTGATGAATAACTGGTATTCTTTATCCTATCTGTACTTCAGCACCATTGGGACTTTGACCACATTGTTTGTGGGAATGCTTCTCAGTTTATCAACAGGTAAGTACCTTCACAGTATTCTTGTATTTATGCTGGTTTTTATTATGTCTGTTTTATAGCCATCTTTTATTTTTTTACTGTGATCCTTTTAATACTTAATTGAATTATTTCTTCCATTTTATGCATGGGAATTTGAGAGCCTGCACTCGAGAACAGGTCGTCTCTATTTGAGCCTTGGTTCTGCCATTTAATAGATGTGTAAATCCAGGCAGTCACACAGCGGCTCTGAGCCTTAGCTTTCTCCGGTGTAAGATGAGGATAATAATAATTAACCTGCCCAGCTCACAGACTGCTGTAAAAGTAAGATGTTTGCAAAAACTCCCTATAGCTACTACAAGGCTTTCACCGAACAGCCTTATCCCAGGACCTTCCTGTTGTCCCCTGTTGGCTCTTTGTACACTGTAAGTAAGTATATACACACAAGGAATAATAATTATGATGTTTATGTTTAAACATAGTATAAAAGTTTTTGAAAAATGTTGATAAACTTTAAAAATAAATATCTATAGAAAAATCAAACTGATAGTAGACATAGTGTTAACTGGTCTATGGGATTGCTATAGCGCTTTTACCCTCGGACGTTATTTCCTCTTCATTGTGAGAATTCTCTTACCCTCTCTCCTGTGTGAGGTTCCCTACTGCCCACATCACTTAGTCCTTATGTTTGTTTATGCGCTTAATTGAATGAGTACATCTTACAGCATTTTCTTGAGAGAGGGGAGACAAGAGGAGAGGTTTTGGAAACTGCATGTCTGAAAAATTATTTAATCTATCTTACAGTTGGTCCATAAGTGGAATAGGAATCTTAGGCTGAAAAGCACTTAGTTTAATTTTCTCCTGGCTACTGTGCTGCTGTTGAACGCCAGTGGCATGCTACCTGCTGCGTCTGACTTGCCTTGGCCCTCAGGAGGGTCCTTTACAGCTGAAGACTCCTGTCCTTCAGTTCTGAGCATTTCCTTATGTTATTTCTTCTGTAATTTCTGCCACTTTCCTCTAATCCCTTGTCTCTTCTCCCGTTTTCCATTTCTGTGTCTTTTAGGTCTAATACGTGGATATCTTTTTCATTTTCTTTTCCAAACCTTCTCAAAGGAGCCCTTGATACAGTTTGAGCATAGTCTGTAGGGGCCAAGGGCAAGTAGCGGGCTATATGCCGAAGTCCAGGTGAGAAAACATAGTGCTTGGGCTGGGACAGTGGTGCAGGCTGGTGAAAGTGCTGGGCTCCCTAATTCTCTCCGCCTTCCCACATTTACATCCGCAGCACCCAAATCCCAGAAGGCTGCCTTGCCCTTCTTATCAGTGTTTTCTAATCACTCAGAAATGCTTACATTTTGTTCAAGTATTTCTTTTTGTTGTTGTTGTTCAAGTATTTCTTTATGCTACAAAGCTACCTGTTCAGTGCTGCTTAATAGAATCCTATTATCAATTATTGTTTTTGGGACATAGATAGCACTGTCTTTCAAACTTATTGGCATATCACAGTGGTCCATGCACATCCATATTTATAGACCACAGGTCACAACAGCTAAATCTTGGAAGCAACTTACATGTTCACCAACAGATGAATGGGTAAAGAAAATGTGGTATTTATACACCATGGAATACTACTTTGCCATAAAGAAGGATAAACTTGAATTATCTGTAGGAAAATGGATGTACCTTGAGGCCATAATAATAAGTGACATAAATGAGACACACAAGCTTAAATATCACATGGCTTGTCTTATGTAGAAAGCCAAATTATAAATAAAGAGCAAAATAAAAAATAGATAATAGGAAATAGGGAGGTAGATACTTCTCAAATGAGGGAGGGAGGAGAGGGAAAGTGGATGAAAAAAAGAATGAAGATGTGTTGTGTACCTGTGCCGGCTCCACACAAGGCATGTAAACATTATGTACTGCAAACATGTCAATAAAAAATAAACTTTATAATTGGTAATTATAAACTGTGTAGGTATTTGTTGCCCTTCAGCTATTTTAAAGTATTCTGGTTCTTTTTCAAAAGATCTGCTTTTTCTCATAAATAAAATTACTGGGATAATAGGTTTATTCTTTTATCTGTTTTGATATATTTAAGACAGATTCTAAACTTTTCTCACCAGTTACCCAGTTGTTTAGATTTGGAATGTATCTAACTGGTCTCCTGTACTATTTGATCTTTGGCTTTTATTTAACTCCCTCTTCCTCATTTTTTAAAAGAAAGTGAGATGTTAGATTCTTTCCTTTGAGTGTTCCTTCTTAAATTCTGTGATTCTGATATCTGTTGTTTCAGTCACCTTCCCAGCACTGGGACAAAATGTCTGACATGCACAACTTAAGGTTTAATTTGGCATATGGTTTTGGGGATTGAGTCCATGGTTGTCTGGCTCCAAGGTAGAAACAGCATGGTGGAGGGCATGAGAGAGGAAAGCTGTCACCTCATGGGAGCCAGGAATCAGAGACTGAATGGAGCCAGGAAGCTGTGGAGGAAGATCCACCCTTTCAAGGAGCAAGCCCAGTAACCTACCTCTCCCAATCAAGCCCCGCCTCCTAACAACGCAGTTAGCTATGGACTCATCAATAGATTAATCCACTGATGAGTATGGAGCCCCCACGATCCAGTTGCCTTCCAGAAGCCCCACCTGTGAGCAGAAGAGGCTGTCAGAGAACATTCTAGATCTAAACCACAACATCTGTATATTGCCCTTTCATTTTAAAAAGTAATGGTCTATGCAGATGAACAGACATGTAGTAATAAAAAGCACTCTAACTTCATTCATGTCATAAATGACTTACTCCTACTCCAAAGCAGCAGTGAGCATCTTGATAAAACTCTAGAGACATGCAATTCTGGTTACCTTTGCTCCAGGAGTCTGTTTCTTTATCCGTAAAATGGGAGCAAATATTTTCCTAAGTAGATCATGAGCTGTTATTGCGATGATTGTTTTATTCAGTTCGGTTTCTGCAACATCTAGCAGTCGTAGCACACAGTAGGCACTGTGTAATGGTGAATGAATTTAAGGTAGATCTTATCTCTAGAACAGCGGAGATTTCCATAGCTGAGAGTCTAATATTTGTGTCAAAATGATGGTTCTCGAATTTTAGAGGGCAACAGAATCATCTTGGAAGTTTCCCCACAGTACGACTCAGTGGCCCCATTTACAGGGATCCTAATTTGCATAGTCTAGGCTGGAGTCCAGAAATCTGTGTTTTTCTTTTTTCTTGGTACTGGGGATCGAACTCGGGACCTTGTGCTTGCGCAGCAGGCAGCAAAACCACTGAGCTAAATCCCCGGTCCCAGAAATCTGTCTCTTAAGCACATCTCCTAAATGATTTGGAGAGAGGTGCTTTGAGGACTTCATAAAAGCATTCTCTTTGAGCCACAAATAAAATGCCAAACCAAGGGGTTAGTTTTGTAAAGCAAACCTTAGGGAGGAGGGTGTGGATCAAACAGCAGTAAGCACACTGATTTGCATTCAATCAATTTAGTCAACAGTTCATCACTCCCTGGATTTCTTCACCTACAAATATTCAAAGTCACCAAACTGGCTAAAGGCAGCTTTAGCACCAGATGCAGGGGCAGATGGTTTAAAATTTTGTTGGTGGATCAGAGGATACTTTTGAATCGGTTTTTCCAACCAGCACTGGAGCGAAGGACTCTAGTTGAGCACCAGAGGCAGCAGTTGGCTTGAACTTAGGAGCTGTCATATCTTTATCTATCTTTACCTATTTATTTATATATCATGAGTCTCATATTTATCACAGTGAGGGCCTACAGGGTCTGAGACTGATGGAAGGAAAGGGGAATGGTGGCACGGTTTAAGTTTCTCTTTCTGTGTTTTATGAGTGTGTAGAGTATAATGTCCACTAGCTGCCCATGTGCTGGTACATGTCACGGTGTGGTACAAATATCTTTTTAACAATGTAAATATTGCATTTTTTTCAGGAGGAAGAAAACAGAACTTAGACCCCAGATTCTTACTAACCAAAGAGGACTTTTTATCTAATTTTGATATTTTTAAGAAAGTAAGTTGGCTTTCATTTACCGTAAATGAGGAAGCCAGGCTTTATCGCCTGGATAGTGCCCTAGTTAGTTCTGAACCTATCTCTTGATCAGGGTGGGGAGGAAAGGTATACACCCTTTTCTTTGATCATGGCCTGGGTCTGGTGTGTATCATTCTATCCCCTGCTGATCTCTACTCCATTATACAGCTCTCTCCCTCAGTAGACTACAAAGCCATCATAAAGAAATTAAAACAGTAGTGGCAATTATTTAGCATTAAGTAAACTTCTTTTTTCTAATCACCCTGTTAACGTTTTCTCTTAGAAGGACCATGTTTTAAGCTACAAATCTCACCTGGTGGAAAGCGGTGGAACTGATAACCCTGCCTTCAGCCATGTGGAATTGAACTTCACAGATCCAAGCGACAAGTTCAGCGGGACTCGCCTGTGAAGTAGCTCTGATACTAGAAGATTTTAAACCGTGCCTTGGTTTTACATGTTTTCTAGAATAATGGGATCAGAATTAGATTGATTTTCTGTCTAACGTGAGTGTTTTGGGGGCTACATTTTTGGTAAAGTCAAGTCCTGATTTTCTTCCCTTTCCACAGTGATTTATCGTGGTACTCTGGAGTTGAGTCTGAACATCAGCATTTTCCTCTCTCTTTTTTTCCAGTGGAGCCGCAGTTCTGACTCTATACATGCTGAAGGGCTAACACACACATATACACAGGATACTTGGCAGTCAAAGGCATACTCTTAAATTTGGGCATTATTGACAATGTTTTCAATGCCTTTGGTGTTAGCATAAAACTTTCAGCATTTGCCAAAATCAAAATCAATGTTGAAAAGAGCTTTCTCTCTCCTACCACATACTCTGTTCTTAGGGACCAGTGAAATGACAGCCCTGGGTTGTGGGGGTTTTGCTTCTTATCCTGGATCGGCTCATAGCGTGTAATAATAACCTTGGGATGGATTCTGGAGCAGGAAGGCGGAAATCAGGAAACAGACACAAATGATAAGGCCCTTTGGTATGGATTCTTGTGCCTTTGGCTTGTTTTCTGAGGCTCCTGGCCTTACTTGCTTATCTTACCTAAGACTACAGTTCTTATGTACATTCCTAGTTTCTGAACCACAGCTTGCCTTCCTGGTTTCCCGTTTCCTCTGTTGCCCTGGGCTCCGCTATGCCTTGATACACCCAGTGTACACCGCCACACAGGCCTGGTTCACCAGGTCCCAGCCTGTGAATGATAAACTCATGAGCCCCGTACTGATGAGTGGATGCTGATGTGGGTTCTTACAGATTCGGTGACCCACGAACATTGTGTTTTAAAAAAAATGATTAAGTTCAGGGTTGGCGGTGGAGCTCAGTGGTAGAGCACTTGCCTGCCGTGTACAGGGCCCTGGATTCCATCATCCTCAGCACTGAACTTCAGAAATTAAGTTTTATGGAGTTAGCTGTTTTTACTCAATGCTGTTGAGTTAAACACTGGAATGTCAACTAATTTGTGATCAGTTAAATTGATTGATGGTTCCTATGTTTAGAAATCTTGAAATTTTAGTATATTCACATAGTTAAGAGGCTAAATTAAATACTAGGTAGTACTATATTTTTAATGTACCAGACTTACTAAATATCTGCTTTGTTTGATGCTTTAAAATTTCATATAGCAGTCTCAAAGTTGCTTCATTGTTTGTATTACTATGTTCCTAGCTAAGAGTTTAGTACAGGATTTCATCAATAACTTATTTTTTCAATGACCACACTAGATACTGTTTAAAAGCTTTTTAAATTTTTAAAAAAGATGAAAGAAATATTTAGAAATATAAAACATACAAATGTTTTGTAATTCAGTAATTTTGTGCATATTTTCTGATCTATTTTATTTGGGAAACCATGCTCTGTACATATAGAGGCATTAAGAAATAAATAAAATAAGAAGTAGCATTTCTCTAGAGCAAGAGATTTATATAGCATTTAAATTCACTATATATTCATGTATTTCTTATGTGTATAAATGCTCTTTTTGATCATTATACTTGTAAGCAAACATCACATTTCGTGAATCTTTCCACAATATATTTTTTTTGGTACTGGGGATCGAACTCAGGACCTTGCGCTTGCAAGGCAGGTAGTGCCACCACTGAGATAAATCCCTGGCTCCCACAATGTTTTAATGAGATATAATCTTATTTGTTTTATGCTACTGTGATTTGAACTACAGTTATTTATTTAATAATTCTAAGTGCATTGTAGAGTGATTCGATTTTGGAAATCAAAATCAAGTTCTTTAACTTTTTCTCTTCACTGACTGCCTAGAAGTTAGGCAATGTGTTTTTAACAAGAAATATAATACTTTCATTGGTGTTCATTTTCCTTAAGACAAAATACATCTTTATGACAATTGAGACTATCAGTGTTTTACATTTACAAACATGTAACAGTGCCGGGTAGATTTCTTCACAAAGTGATATTGTTATTAATTAAAAATAATTTATCTTAATTTCTCAATTTTGGGGTAAAATATTATAATGCAAAATACATAAGCTGCTTCTCAATTATTTTGAATCACAGTAACTCAATGGGAGAAAAAGTCACGAAAATTGTCAAATTTTTTTTTTGCCACTGATGAGTTCTCTGCCTTTGAGTTGACACTTAACCTCCCCTACTGATGGTACACAGCATTAAGCTCTTGCCTACCCAACAAAAGTAATGTGAGCATAAAAGATCAGATTGAGCTCTTTGGCAGAAAACCACGGTATTAACTAAAAATAGCATTACTAGGGCTGGGGATTTAGCTCAGTGGTTCCGCCACCCGCCTCACAAGTGCAAGGACCCGAGTTCAATCTCCAATATCAAAAAAAAAAAAAAAAAGCATAACTAATATTTCCATAAGATTGAGAATCAAAACCTGAGACCAAATCCACTTTCCAACTTTTTAAAAGATGAGCTGCTCATATGTTATAATATAATGATGTAGAGTTAGAGCCTTCTCAAAAACTATGTGCCATAGAAATATTAAATATATTTAGGAATCAGCAGGATTATTCCAACTGAATAAATGTAAACTTTAAAGAAAGATATTGAGGCTTACTCATTTCACAGAGAAATGAAAAATTTATAGGTAAGCTGGGAAACGGCATCAGTTTGTATTCATCTATTTAGTGGCTTAAACAATCCTTTTCTCTACAGACCAGTGGTTCTCAACATTACCCATTCTGTTCTTTAAGGGACATTTGGGAATGGCAGGAGGTCATTCCTGGTGGTCCTAGTGGGGTGTGTGTGCTGCTGGCATCCCGTGAGCAGAATTTAGGAAAGCTGCAGACGGCTAAATGTCCTAGGAGACAGGTCAGCTGCCCTCTCTCCAACTCAGACACCAGTAGTGGGAGTCTGAGAAACCTTGTCCTGGAGTGAAGAGTGAACTTCCTGAAGTCACACAGCCTGGTGGTCTTTCTTCAGGAATGCGGCCTGACACTGGTACCTGGACATTGTCATCTAAGGGGGACAGTGAAGATACCAGGATCACGTGGAATGTTAGCATGCAGAATAAGGACCACGTATTTTTATAGCATGTTGAGGGCTGTAGGATTGTGAATATTATGCGAACCAGTCCTTGAACAGCTTAGCTTTCTACATGGTAGCTAATAGTGACACATATTAGGATGAAGGAAATATTAAATGTATGCATATAAAGATTTCATCATTTCATATTAATCATGAAAACCACAGGAAGTATAGGGTTTTTGTTTTTTAAAAACAACTGAATGTCGCATGGCACAGCCACATGGGACAGGGTTGAGGTTGAGATGCAGCAAGTAACTCTTTGAATTGATTCGAACAATAGTGTCCCTATGATAGTGTGGGTGCTATTCATTTTTTCCCTGTTTTTCCTTATTTCTATCTAAATGTGATATTGTGAAAGAACACTCTTCAAACCCTAATGGTCTTTCTTCCACTTGGTCTGGCCTGTTGTTGAGATTTTCATCTGGAATCTGTATTAGGGAGTTACGATCTTTCACATTTCTGGTATCCCACTGGTGCACCCAGGGAAACGGCAGTCTCTCCTCTGAAGATGTGTCTCAGGGTATGGAATGTTTATTTCCAGCTAGATGTCTTACTATAATCTTCTTGTAGATTCTTTGGCTGTGGTTAGTGGGTTTGGGCACATTGTGTGTCATATTGGGTTGGACAAGAGTGGGGACTCCCTAGCAACTCTGGCAGGAGTTGTATAGACTGCGGATTGTGGGGTGCATCTTGTGTGGTGCCCCTACCGGGCAGTGGGAGTTTCTCGCCTCTGTTCCTTGCCTGGGACTCTGGTACTGGCCTCTCTCATAGTGGTGAGGGGCTTGAAGCACTTGTGTCCTGATTAGACATTAGCACAGCTCCAGGTATTTGGGGAGAGGGGCTAGGATCACAGTGGCCCCTCTGTGACACTCACACCCAGTTCTGACATTAGTGTGTGGTCGGGCAAGATGTGGAGGTGACCGCTGTGGAGGGCCAGTGCAAGTGCTATGGCGGAAAAAGTTGAGTTATTCTTCTCTGCTTCTACTGTGAGTGTCCCCAGGAGCGGGACCCCAGGCCCCTCTAGCTGTGCCTATCTAGAAACAGGGTGATGGCTGGGGGTCCGCCTCATCTTTTAGTTGTAGATCCCAAAAGGGGTGGAGCCGAGTGGGTTATGTCTGGAGCCAGGTGTAATTCCCTCAGCCGAGGCGTTCAGTGGGGTGCGTGAACACGGCACGCACTCTTTCTCAGGCATCTGTGTCAGTCAGTCCACCAGGCCAAATCGGGCTCACGGGGCAGCTGCCTCCTGAGCCGGTGCAGTGGATGTCCGCGGGCTCCCAGAGACGGGAATACACGGGGCTTCTAGCCAAAATCAGACAATAGGTCCCTTCCCAAGATGGTGCCCTGGGCCTTCAATGGAAGATGAAGTGACTTCCTTTTCCAAAGCCAGACTGCTGGGCAGATTTGGGCCCTCTTATCCATTTAGGGTGCAAACCGGCACAGAGCACGAAACTCTCTAAGAGTTAAGACGGCCAGTGTCTGTGCTGATATTCATCTATCAGCGACTCTCTTGCCTTTGCCGCTGTGGAAGGGAGACTCCATCTCCTGGCTACGGACCCCGTGTGGCAGATGCGGGGAAATGTTTCTCTTGTAGTCATGGTGTCAAGTCTGGATTTACAAGGTTTCCATTTTTCTGCTGTTGAACTGCACCGTTTTCCCATGGCCACTCCACTCAACACACCGCGGTCCACCGTTGCTTTGTTTCTTCTTTGCGTACCTCTGTTGGGTCACCTTGTCAGTCCCCTGAATGCACCAGGGTCTCGCCCCTTCTTTCCAAATCTGATGGTAAACATCTTCACCGTGGGTCTTCCAGGGTTTCATACATCCGGTTTCCCTAGCTTGTGAAGATAACCTGGTTTGTGAGTAGCAGTCCGTCTCGGCATTCCCATGGAGGGACAATCGCTGGAGCCTTCTTTTCAGCCACCACCACACTCTGCTCTCCCCGCTCTTAACAGTTCCAAGACCTTCCTTCCACGAGGGCCAGACTGAGGACCACGCCTTTTGCCCTGGGGCCTTTAGGGGACTCCACATCGGAGCAAAAGCAGTTGCTATTATTTTTTCCCCCCATTAACTTTATTGGTACATTTTAGATATACAATACAGTTACATTCATCATCGGGATCTTGTACCATTACATGAGGCTCTTCGTTCTTATTTTTTTCCCCTTCCCTTGCCCTCCCTTCACCCCTTCCACCCTTCCCTATTTGCAAAGACCTTGTATCAAGTTTTTTCCTCTTCTTATATTTTTTCCTTTCCCTTTTTTCCCTTCCCCTACCCCTCCCAATTCCCCTGCTCTTTTAGACCTTTTCTTCCTGTTAC